AGGTGTTGTTGGAGTGGGCCAGTGGTTGATAGCTCTGTGCACAACGTTATGGCGGTCGCCTGGAGAACGAAGATTGGTGGCAGACGCGAATGAAGAGGCAGAGACGGCTGAAACGTCTCACGCGAGGGCACAGAGCAATGGAAACGAAGCTTTGCGTCATCCTCCCAGAGGTGCTCGGGAACGTCGAGGGCCGAACGTTGAAGACCGGGAGCGGCGGCAATCTAGCGTCGATGTGCCTCCTGCAAATGATGTTTGTGCAATTTGCCGTGAATGGTTTGTTGTGCCTGTTCAAGCCAACTGTGGCCATTGGTTTTGTGGTATGCTATTCCATTTGCAACTGGCCCCACTGAGCTTTCCGATGCTTTCCCCCCCCGCCCCCCATCGCCGAAGTACATGGCCCATTGAAACATACCAAAAAAAGAGCGGTGCAAGGAATGGATAGTCCTCGGTTCATTACATTATCCTTGGCTCGTTAGATGCTCCGTTGTCCATCAGATTATCCTTGGTTCATTATACGCTCCCTGGTCCATTAGATAGTCCTTATTTCATTAGATTGTTGTCCTTGGTCCATTGGACAAGTTGATCCTTGGTACATTAGACAGGTCGATCCTTGGTACATTAGGCGAGTTGATCCTTGGTCCATTAGACAAGTTGAGTTCATTAGACAATTTGACCCCTGTTCTATTAGACGAGCTGATCCTTGGTGCATTAGACGACTGATCCTCGGTTATCCTCAGTCCATTAGACGAGTTGATCCTTGGTCCATTAGACGGTCCTTGATCCACTAGACGAGTTGGTCCTTGGTCCATTAGACGAGTTGATCCTTGGTCTATTAGACGAGTTGATCCCTGGTCCATTAGCTGGTCCGTGGTTCCTTTGGTAATCCTTTGTTCGTAAGAGGAGTTGGTCCTTGGTACATTGGATGATCTGTGGTTCATTAGGTTGTTCTTTTTTTTTCTTTTCTTTTCTTTACTTGAACCATTTTCTGCGTCGTGCGTGTCGTTGCAAGGACCACTCAATTGGGATACAAATTTTCCAAGCAGCAAACGACTCAGAAAAGCAGAACAACCATTTATGAGCAGAAGTCGACAGCAGAATTACAAACCCGACAGACAGCACACTAACTGAGAACACACTGGCACTGAAGTCTCCTGATGGCCTCGACTCGTCAATACAACCACAACGTAGCAGCTCTACTGTTATGCAACTGCCTGCACTACTCCCCTACTCTCCTACTCTCCTGCTCTCCTACTCTCCTACTCTCCTACTCTCCTACTCTCCTACTCTCCTACTCTCCTGCTCCCTCTCTCTCTCTCTATACACAGCTTTCCTGACAATCTCTCTCTCTTTGTCCACTCTCCTCTCGCCTAGCAATGCTTTATTAGAGTCTACCTGCCACGGTTGCGCTACTTGGCCACCACCAGGTAAGTCTGCCTGTTCCCACCGCTGTCTTTCCTTGATCGCCCCGCCCCAGCACCACTCACGTCCTTCCATCACAGCTATGGATGCCACTGGCAGAGCAGCCGACCTGGTTGCGCCTCCCCTTCTTCTTCCGTGAGTTCTGGCCTGGCCGCGTGCACTCTCCATAGAGCGCCGACAGCCAGTGCCTTCCGAATGTGTGGATGCTGACCGCTGTCCTTCTTCCTCCTTGATTACCCCCCCCCCCCCCCCCCCCCCCCCCCCCCCCCCCCCCCCCCCCCCCCCCCCCCCCCCCCCCCCCCAGCTATGGCTGCCGCTGGCAGAGCTGCTGCCCGTGGTTGCTCCTCCCCTTCTTCAATGAGCACCTGAATCCGTTTATCTCAGATTGTTTGCTGGATGATCTTATACAGAGTTCCACGATTTACGGCTCCAGGGCCTTCGGCCTCCAGGGATCCTTCAATATACCATTGCGCACCATGAAAGGTATCCATTATTATAACATTAAGGGCCGTGTGAGCACTACGTCCCGGTCTGAAGCCATGTGAATAAGTGGAAAAGCGGGGTTCATAAATAGGTTCTAAGATCATTCTAAGAACTTCTTGTACGATCCTGTCCTGGAAGCATGATACTCCCAGTGGACGCTTTTTGTTCTTCCCAGGTTTCGGCGGAATACAAGTTGTTTAGTCTTTTCTGTTTATCTAGATGACATGATGGGTCAATAATTTGCTTTATTGAAGTTTATTCGTATTAACTGTAGCTGCTGCAGAATCTGCTATTGGGCTCGCTATTCTTGTTATTACTTTTCGAATTCGTGGCACTATTGAAATCTATCCATACCAAAACAAGTGGCCCATTTCTGCTTAAGAAAGGCGCCTAAAAAAGAGGCGCGGGGAGCGGGGGGGGGAGGAGAGAGATGGTTGGAATCAGTTGTCTTCTTGGTGATCGCTTCGCCGCTCACTATTTCGTGCCGGTCACCCTTGCGTAGGGCTCGATCAATCAATCGCAAGACTGGGGTAGTGCTCCTGGTTGTAGAGGAAGGATGCTGGTTAATTAGTCGTTTGACTGATTGATTGTTGCTGGAGCATCCAGGATGGGGTGCTCGTATCACCCTCCCTAGCAGCAATACTAGTCAAAAGAAAAAAGAAAAAAAAAAGATTGTTGCGCTTAGTAGTGTTTGTGGTGGATATGGCAGCGGGGGGACGGATTGCCGTCTTCTTCACCAGAATAGAACGCCCGGTCGTTATCGCTGTAGCTATAGACTGAAAGTTGCGCCAAGTACAGCGATAATGACCAGGCGTTCTATTCGGGTGGAGACGGTAGTCCACTTCAAGTTAGGTTTCCGGCCAATCTTTTCGGCAAATCGTCCCTTGTAGTGGCGGACTCGGAAATTCTAAATGATTGGTAGTCGTTTGTGATGAGGAGTCGGTGAAATGCCGACGAAAAAGCAACTAAGCAACATCCCACTTTCTGTTCTTTCCCCTTCCTTTTTGGGAATGAGCCTCGCCCCAATACTCAACATTACACATGTATCTGGACTTGGTGTGTACGAGATACATTTGGACAGAGCCAACGTTTTGTGGGGACCACAACCAGCTCCAGATACTTTGGGAATGTTGTCCGGTGGACCGGTGGAGTGAGGCTCAACGATTCACCAAGGGGTTTTTGAACTGTGGAATGCGATTTGGGATCTGATCTCGTCAATGGAGGTGGAATTGGCTCTGCTAATTTGGAAAATCTGGTTCACTGAACGAAGGCATAGTACGCCTCTCGATGAAAAAAATATCAGAAAAAGTTCAAAAAGTAGATCACTTTTTTTTTTTTTTTTTTTTTTTTTTCGTTCTGGGGGAAATGATATCTTGATGACTGAAAGGAAATTGTTACGGTCTGTCTGTGGGACTGCTGATTCCCTTACCTTTCCCTGGAAAAGAAATGAGAAGAGTGGGGAGTTTGGGGATAGTCAAAGGATAGGAGAGGAGAGGTGTTGAGCAGGGAGATAGGTTGCTGATTGGGTCCGACTTTGGGTACGCGCTACGATGGGGTGAACTGGCGCTTGAACTTGGTCGTGATAATGATGCAGGGGAGTGCATTCTGCGCGCATGGCGGCATGCGTCCTTATTACAGCCGTGCCCGTGTCCGATCTGCCGGAGGGTAATCAATCTGCTGATCGTCAGCCAATCAGCTTTCCAATCGCCGCTTTCGCCGCATAACCAGCAAGTAATCCATGATGTTTCTGCGTACAATGGCCGTTTTGGAGGAGGTCCCATCAGCATCTGGCAGGTGGGTTCACAGTTCCTACCCACTGCAAACCTTCTTTTTTTTTTTTTTTTTTTTTTTTTTCCCTGCGAACTTCAACGTCAAGCTATTTCAGGCAGCATTTTGAAATATGTTTCCGTCGATTGCCCAGCTCAAGATTTCATCGCTGCGGCCAAGTTTTCGGAATCTCTTTATCTTCGACCTTTTTTAACATGTCTGCTGCAATATGCAATTTTTTTATCTTAAAGAAATAAAAAATATAATACAAAAGCATTGTAATGAACCCAGTCGCATTGCTGACTGGGTTCAGACTTCAATGCAATAGAAGTCAGAACCCAGCGCATCTCATGAAGTCTCTGAAAACAATTACAGGTCTATGAAGTCTTGATCGTATGCACGATTCAAGAGTATCGTCTCATCAAAGAAGAGCATGAGAGAAGAGAGAGAGAGAGAGAGGAGAGGTAAGACGGAGAAGAGGAGGAGGAGAGACTCAAAAGTAATCGATAATACATGTATGTCTCTCTCTCTCTCTCCCACTTCCACTCGGAGCTCCTCCCCTGTCGCCACCTCAGCAATGCATGTTCGTTCCCTCTGACGATGTCTGACATAATCGCTGTGCAGATCAGTACAGGGAGCCCATTCTCGACGTCAGCAGTAAGATATGGAGGATGGCCCAGCCCTTTCTCACCTTTGCGGAGACAGGCAGCAGATCACACGTGTCGATGCCAGGTAAGTCCAGGTAAGTCCAGGTAAGTGATACATGCCAAGTCGGGCAATGTATGTACAAATGGCACAAATAGCGCAGTGGAAGACTTGGATATAAGTCCTGACCTGACCGGGGACTGACACGACATCCCTTCATACATTACACATGTGAGAGGAGGAGGGGCCGCACACAAAGACGGAAGGTCCCTCCTTGTACACGCACATGGGGAGATGCCACAGACGTGAGATGGGGGGGGGGAGATGAGACAAAGATGGAGGCGAGGGAGAAGACCAAGATCACAATGGCGATGTCCAAAAATAGTCCCTTGCAATCAGACTCGTTTTTAAACACACTTTTCACACATGTAAACAGTAACGCAGCATACTGGCGACATGCGCCCACTCAAAACTCAGAGATATGGTTTTCAGATACGAATTTCACTCCCAATTGGCTATGGCGACCTCAGCGCCCAAACATCTCACTGTTCACATACACTGGATCACCCTGGATATCCCACACGCATCACTCTAACACTCGAGCACACACAGACACTCACTACTAACTACAGCTATGGCAGCTATGGCTGCCTCTAACCTATCGCT